TCTGAGACACATTGAACAACAATATTACTCTTATCCTGTTGTAGCTATCTGTGAATGCTGGAGGACGCCTCTACCAGCAGTAACTGCAGAATTCAAGAGGGTATGTAGTGAGCAAAGTGTTGACTGTATCAAACATATTACAGCTTTTTGTGTCAGATTCATAAAGGTAGAGATCAACTGTGTTCCCCATGAACTACAATATGAAATGTTCAGATCTACACAAGATGACATGATCCACAGAGATAAAATAGAAGACTTTAGGATGAACTTGGCTATAGTCGATTCCCTACCTTTCCTGTACTTCCTACAATATAAGATCTACCGTCATCTACAAAGACAACAATATCAACAACAAGCAATAAGTAAACTTATAAGAACCATAACAACAGATAAAAACCTTGGACATCGAGAAACAGCTCTCAACATCTTAGGACAATGTATGGAACAAGAAAACAGACCTCAACAAGCATTAAAATGTTACCTGCTTTCTCTCCAGCAAAGGCCAAGGAACAATGCAGCAAACTTTCATATATGTAAGCTCCTTTTTGGGGTATTGGCTGGGCAATAAAATTGAAACAGACAGTTATAAGACTTGTATGTTCAGTAATCATAAACTGCTTGTGTGTATTGTTGAAATATATGCTTTATTATCCATCTTTTGTTACATTTGTCATTTAGTTTATACAAATTTATTTTAGTTCGATTGTGTTGGAAGCTATAAGCGTATTGAGACACTCCCGAATCCGTTCCTGGAACCAACCAGTACTAAGCAATGAATGTAAAGTTTCTTGCTCAAGGAAACAACGGCTTGCCCCTGACAGGGTTTGAACCCACGCGGTCAGCAATCCTTAGATTACTAGTCAGACGTGTTAACCACTCGGCCACGTTTGTCATTTAGGCAGCATTAAAGACGCTTTTAGAAGTTTTCATATTCATACATGCAAATTTAAAATTTGCGAGTTGTAAGAATGCAACAGAAACATTTCAGCGAAACTAATCTGGGTTTCACCTTTTTCATTTTTGAGTTATTTGGGCCTTAATTTGACTATAAGGACATATACTTTTGATAAATGGTTTTCAAAATATTAATATTGAATATTTAGGACTCAAGGGCAAATAATTCAGAATAAAGGTAAACAATACCTTATTATGTCCCCCTTCGAAGAAGAGGGGGTATTTGTTTTGCTAATGTCGGTCGGTCGGTCGGTCCGACGGTCTGTCTGTCGGTCGGTCTGTCTGTGCATTGGTAGACTAAATGGCTTAAAAACTATAAATCACAGTCTCCATATTTCACATACTGATTAGTCAGAATGGTTTCCGCTCATTATCTTGAAAATACTTTATTACAAAGTCTTCATATTTCAGATACTTATTGGTAATAACTAGTAGATGACCTAAATTGATCTTGGGGTTACTAGGTCAAAGGTCAAAGTCACAGCGGACTTAAATGTCAGAAAGGTTTCCGCTCATTATCTACTATAAATTATCACATGTAAGTGATATATTTCATTTACTTATTTGTCATAACTAGTAGATGACCCCTCTTGATTTTGGGAAAGTCACAGGGGCCTTAAAAGTCAGAATGGTTACTATTCTTATCTTTATTTTTTATCACAAAGTCTTCATATTTCACATACGTATTGGTTATAACTAGAAGATGACCCCTATTGATTTTGGGATCATATGATAAAGGTGTAGGTCACAGAAACCTTAAATGTCAGAATGCTTTCCGCTCATTTTCTCTAAAACTATTGATCACGAAGTCTTCATATTTCATATACTGATTTGTCATAACTAGATTACTCCTATTGATTTTGGGGTGACTAGTTTAAAGGTCAAGGTCACACGGGCCATAAATATCAGAATTGTTTCCACTCATTATCTTGAAATTTTTTTATCACATAGTCTTCATATATCACATACTGACTTTTCATAAGTAATAGATGACCCCTATTGATTTTAGGTCACTAGGTTTAAGGTCAAGGTCCCCGGAGTCTTAAATATCACAGTGCTTTCCATTCAATATTTTGAAAACCATTTATCACAAGGTCTTCATTTTTCACATACTTATTGCTCATAACAAGTTGATGACCACTATTGATTACTGGGTAACTAGGTTAAAGGTCTAGGTCACAGGGGCCTCAAATGTGAAATAGTTTTCGCTTACTATCTTTAAAACTATTTATCACAAAGTCTTCATATTTCTGATACTGATTTTTCATAAATAGAAGACGACCTCTATTGATTTTGGGTTTACTAGGTCAAAGGTCAAGGTCACAGGGGCCTTAAAAGTCAGTATGGTTACCACTCATTGTCTTGAAAAATATGTATCACAAAGTCTTCATATTTCACATACTTATTGGTTATAACTAGTAGATGACCCCTATTGATTTTGGGATCATAGGTTAAATTTATACGTCACAGGGGCCTTAAATTACAGTTCACTTTCTTAAAAACTTTTTCTCACAAAGTCTTAATATGTCATATATTGATTTATCATAACTAAAATGTATTTTGTTTCTTTCTTTCTTTCTTTTTCTTTCTTTCTTTGTTTCTTTGTTTCTTTCTTTCTTTCTCCATTTCTTTATTTCTTTGCTCACCTGTCTCAAAATGATATACTGAGCTTTTGTGATCGCAATTCGTCCAGCGTTCGTACGTCTGTAAACTTTATATCTAAACGAAACCAATTTCATCCAAACTTTACAGCTATGTTCCTTTGACGGTCTTCTTTGACAATTGTTCCAAGAATTGAATTCCTAGTGGGTGTCTACCAGGTTTGTTCAAATAAAAGCCATTGGTTAAAAATCGCTTATTCCTGGGGTTCATTGATTTTCCTGATACGTATACATATGTGGTAAAAATAATCTTTCATAAAAAGCAAAGAGCTAGAGCTATGATATTATCACGAAACATCTTCAGGTGGGTGTCTACCAAGATTGTTCAAATAAAAACCGTCAGACCAAAATAGGCCCAGTCCCATATTTTTTCTGATATTATTTGTCAATTATAATAACTTATCGGTATATCATGTTCTATGAGGCATCTGTCACAAGCATCACAAGTGACTGCTTCCTGTCGTGTACGCACATCGCTTCAGTCTATACAATAATCAGTCATTTTAATGACAAACACTTCTCACAATTTAATATTTTGAAATAGTTTTTTTAAATAAAAATTAACATTTTTTTCACATATGTCCTTCTATGTAAAAAAACCCAAAATCAAAGGGAAATAGTCAATGCCCAAAGTAAATAATTATAAATACTCATAAAATACTGACAAACCGGCAGTAAAAGAAACTGTTGACTGTTGCATAAACTACCTTTTTATGCCTACATGATTTAAATAAAATGCATTCTCCTCACTAAAAAGTTGTTGTTAAATCACCGTATACAATGCATGTTAATTCGATACTGTTATGTCCAGGGTATAGATATTATAAGAAACACATTTGATTGTAACTACGTTTATTTAGAAAGTCATGTTATTTCTTGACCGGAAGTTCAGTACTGTTTTTCCCATCATGCAATATAGTTATAAATAGCAGCAGACTACAGTAATGAAGGATATTACATCCCTTCTCTTCTTGGATTGAAACATCATCTTATATAAATTTATTATTGTAAATATTATTAAATCAATATATTTTTTTAATTAATGATTTTTTTTAGTTCTAAATACAATACATATTCAAATAACCAAAATCATAAATATGTACATTGTATATAATGTTTCTACAGATGGAACACAAATTCAGCATCTAACTGTAATTGTCCAAGTTTGTTTATATCAGCATTCCTTATTCCACGTGGTCTGTTATAAAGCAATTAATCATGAAGAAAACGAATTCCAACCGTTTGTAGGTCAGTTTTACTACAGCTTTAATACCAATGAATAACGTTAGTCAATAAAACTTTTCTACTACTTGAGCAATATCAGACATATTACACTTTATACAAACATGGATAATTTCCTTGTCTCCCCAACATCACAATTAATTAAACACAATAGTTATATTTTTTTTTATTTGATATCCTTGAGTTTGATAATATTTAAATGATATAAAAGCATTTAATAATATAAACCCTATAGTAAACTCCAGAGGGGATATTCCAGTATGCTCCACTATATGTGTGTATTGTCAAACATTCATTCATTATATAATTCGCTATTTGGGTATTATATATTTATTAACTTAATTAATTATTCATGTTCTCGAATATAATAATTACTTTGATAATTCTAAATTTAATCAAACACATATATATCCATGATGTACAATCGAATAAAACACATACGATTGGCATTATTATGGCCAATTCACTTTCTTTTAAAATACACGCTCTGTTAGCGCGGCACATAATCTTTTAAGTATGGCGGAGGACGTCTATCACGTGTTGGCCTTGTCCTCGCCAATTCCGATTGCGGACTCGCGTGTGAATTCTGTTCATTTCCTATTATCTCCCCTTTATTGAGGTCGTTTTCAGATGTTTCCAGTTCGTTCCCGACAATTCCAGGATCAACAGTTTTCATAACTGACGAATTTCGAGTCATACAATGACCAGCATCGTTCCTAGCACTTATCATTGTCCCTTTTCTGTCAATAACCGTATATGGCGTAGGTTTGTATATTGAATCAGAATTTGTTCTGGCTTCATTCTAACTAACCACGATCCCCTACGTTAATTGATCTGTCCCTTGCATGCATCCGTTCGTCTTCATAACGTTTTGCTTTCATTTTCGAAAAGTCGTCGTTCTGTTGCGCTATTTCTCTCGTTTGAAGATTTCCACTTTTACCATGACTGATGTTTTTGTTTTTTTATTTTCAATTTTTTTACACAATACAAAACATTTATGCATATACATACAATATATGAGATAAACGTATAAGGAGGAATAAGAGATTACTTTTTAGAATCTACAAAGTTTATAAAGATAATAAAGGTAATAATTCAATAGTATTTTAACAGAGTTGACAAATTTTTAATACCAGACTTATTTTAGTATAACAAAAGCCAAAGCCATGACTGATGTTTGGCATTCGAGTCGTCTCTACCAAACATTAACTTGAATGGCGTATAACCAGTCGATACGTGTGGTGTCGCTCGGTATTGTCTTAAGAAATCATACAGTCCTTGTTTGTAGTTTCGCGCCTCAATAAATGAAGATTTTACACTCTTCATCAGTGGTCTATTGAAGGATTCTGCTTGGGCATTTGCTCTTGGCAATCTCGGTGTGATTTTCCGATGAATTATGCCGTAAAATTTCATGAAGTCAGCAAATGCTTTACTTTGAAATGGAGACCCATTGTCGGTTTTTATCACTCTCGGTATAGCAAACATTGATACAATCTTGTCGAACACCGGTATAACTGTGTTTGCTGAAATATTTTTTATTATTTCAACTATCGGATATCTCGAATACTCGTCTATTACCACAAGTAAATAGTCCCTGTTTTCTAACGGACCACAAAAGTCAGCGCTTATATTTAGCCAAGGTCCTGACGGCACTTCACTCATTCTCAAAGGTTCACGCGGTCTTTGTTCATTTGAATTTGATTGACATGCTAAACACTTTTGAATTGCAGCTTCGATTTCAGAATTCATGTTTGGAAAATATACTTTCGATCTTATGTAACTTTTTGTTTTCACAATTCCTTGGTGACCTTCATGTCCTAGTTTTATTGCTTTTTCACGGAGTGATTTTGGAATCACTAGTTTATCATTTTTCATCAATAATGTTTCATTATACACAGTCAATTCGTCCTTTATACTACGAAAAGATGATAATTCTTCTTTGTCTATTTCTAGGTCATTCAGTGTTTTCAATTCATACCATTTACCATTCTTTGTAAATTCGACTGCCTTTTGCATTGTCTTATCTTTCAATGATTCCATTTTTACCTCATCTATTGTCATTGCATTTGGTAATGATTGTTCTGCGACAAATGACACGTATTCCTCTGCTATATTTCGTTCTTCCATATATTTTAATGGATGACGGGACATAAAGTCTGAGGGATTATCTTTCCCTGACCTATACTCTATTTTCATTTTGAACGGTTGAAGTCGCAATCCCCAACGTTCGATTCTTGGTGGTTGTTTCTTTTCCCAAATTTTAGTTAACGGCATGCAATCTGTAATGCATGTGAATGTTGGTGCTCCCTTTAGATACATCGCAAAATGTTCGCCTGACCATACCATAGCCAGTGCTTCTCGTTCTGTCTGACTGTACCTCGTTTCCACTTGTGTTAAAGATCGAGATGCATAAGCCACCACCTTGCCTTCTTGTGTGAGTATTCCCGAGACTCCCACAGGGGATCCATCTGTTATTACTTCAATGTCTTTGCTCGGATTGAAGTATGCCATGACAGTTTCCTGCCTCAGTTCACTTTTTAATTTCTCGAATGCTGCTTGCTGCTCACTGTCTCATTCCCATTGAGTGTCATTTCTTGTAAGACGTCGTAACGGTTCAGAGATTGTCGCGTAGTTTCGTATAAACCGTGACGAATATGACGTCATTCCCAGAAAACTTCTCATTTCCGTCACATTTGTAGGCTCCAGCATTTGTTTGACTGCCTCTACCTTCTGAGGTGAAGGTGACATTCCATTTTGCCCGAATACTACTCCAAAAAAAGTGATTTCTTTTTTATTGAACTCACATTTAGACCTGTTTAATGTCATGCCACTTTCGTGTATGGCCCGGAAAACTTTATCTAATGCTTTATCGTGATCACTTTGATTTTTCGCGTATACAATAATATCATCCGAAATATTTGAGATCCCTCTATACCCTGTATTACTTCACTTATGGTCTTTTGAAATACCTCACTAGCAGAATTTGTCCCAAAATTCAAACGTTTATACCGATAAAGTCCCATGTGTGTAGCAAATGTTGTGATATACCGCGATTCTTCTTGTAAGACAAGCTGATGGTACCCGGCTTTGAGGTCAAGCTTACTGAATATTTTTGCTCCATTCATATCATGAATTAGTTCATCTATCGTCGGCATTTGATGTCTTTCCCTTTCTATGGCTTTATTGGTCTCTCTCATATCAACACAGAGTCTAACATCGCCATTGTGTTTTGGAGGTGTGACAATAGGTGAAACCCAAGGTGTAGGTTCATTTATAACTTCTTCAATAATATCATTTTCTAACAAGGTTTTAATTTCTTTTTCTACTTTTCCTCTTAAATGAAATGGTGTTCTTCTATTTCTTTGTGCTACAGGTTTCACATTTGGATTGATGTGCAATTTCACGGTTTTGTGTTTTAGTTTTTCAATACCTTTATAAATTTCAGGGTATTTATCCTCAATCTTTGTTTTCAAGGAGATGATCTGTGTAATCTTGACTAATTCCATTTCACATGATGTATTATAGCCGATCAAAACTCCATAATTTCTTTCACCAGTTAAAATTTTGCTACGGTTATTTTCTCATTCTTTTCAACAGATAAATTCATGTACCCTTTTACTGGAAGCGGATTGCCTGCCATGTTATTTCTTGACCGGAAGTTCCGTACTGTTTTTCCCATCATGCAATATAGTTATAAATAGCAGACTACAGTAATGAAGGATATTACAGATACAATAACTGAACTGATTTAAGAACATGATAATTTGACCTTAAAAAGCAGACCGAAATCTATATGTAGAGATTATATTGTAATAAAAGGAGGTTATCAATCAACAATCATCGCATACGTTTAAAATAACATTGATAACATCAAAGCTGTTTTAATTTATATGACTTATTAGTCCCCTACCGGTTCAACCGGAGGGGATTTTAGGTTTACCCTCCGTCCGTCTGTCCGTCTGTCTCTGTCTGTCAGTCTGTCAGTCCGTCCGTCCACAAAACTGGATCCCGGGATAACGCAAAAAGTACTGAAAATATTTTTATGAAACTTGATATATGGATAGATGGCAGTATGGAGATTATGCACGTCTTTTTCTTTTCTTCCTGTGTTGAAAATTCTGGTTGCTATGGCAACAAATAATCTGAAAATATGACAAATTTAACACATAAACTGGATCCAGTGATAACTCAAAAAGTACTGAAAATATTTTTATGAAACTTGAAATATGGGTAGATGGCAGTCTGGAGATTATGCGCATATTTTTCTTTTCTTCCTATGTTGAAATTTCTGGTTGCTATGGCAACAAATAGCCTGAATTTCAAGATTTCTAATTTAAATGTTTCGGCTTTTTCACTATAAGTTCTTTATTTCTTAAGGTGTTTACTTCAAAACTTAAGATATAAGTTTCTGGTCATCAACCACATCATATGTGACAAGGTTAACAACTCTAGCACAAATATTATCAGTGTTACCTCCCTTGAACTTAGAATTTTTTATGAAATTTTTTTTTGTCTTTTTTAAATAACTTTTTTTTCCTAATGTATCTACTTCAAACTTCATATATATGTTTCTTATTATCACTCAACATTTTTGAGAAGGTTATAAACTCTAGCAAGACTATTTCCAGAATTATGTCCCCCTTGAACTAAGATTTTTTTCGAGAAATTGGTATTTTTTACTCCAACTTCTTCGTTCCTTATGGGGTTTACTTTAAAATCCCACATCGTAAAAATATGACAAGGTTGTATAAACATAATTTCCTTACTAGGCAGGGAAACTTAACACATTACTGTGATATAGACAAACTTAGAACTCAAAAGATTTAAGTTCATTCATATCATTCATGCAGTGGTAAAATTAAATGGCCAATGGCCCATCAAAATGTTGCTGGGGTTCTAACCGGTAGGGGACTTATGAATTGCTTGCAATACTATGATAATTGCTTGTTTTATTTGCTACGTTTATGTTTTATCGCAATTTTCAGTTATTATCGTTCTTTTATCTAAATAGGGATATTTCACAGAAGTATTTTTGAGGCCCGTTTTGACTTATCTTGAGACCGATTTTACTAATTTTGGGGCCGATTTGACAGTTCTCCGAATGCCGTACAGTTCTTTGAATGCCTTAAAATTCTCTGAATGTCTAGCAGGTCTCCGAGGACTGTCTTACGGGTCTCAAAGTGCCTTATAGGCATTCAGAGAAATGTAAGGCATGCATAGACCTGTGAGATATTTAGAGACCTGTAAGGTATTCAGAGCCCTGTCAGGTATTCAGGGACCTGGGAGACATTTTGAATAATTTAAATGCATTCAGACACCTGTAAGACATTCAGAGACCTGCAAGATGTTCAGGGAAGTGTTAGGCATTCAGAGAACTGTAGCATTTAGACACATGTAAGACATTCAAAAAATTGTAAGGCATTCAGAAACTTGTAAGGCATCCTAAGACATGTAAGGCACTGAAAGACCTTTAAGACGTTCGAAAACCTGGAATTCATTCAGAAACTTGTAAGACAGTCAGACATGCAGAGACCTGTAAGACATTAAAAGACCTGTAAGGCATTTAGAGACCAGTTGGGCATTCATAGACCTGTTAGGCATTCAGAGACCTGTAAGATATTCAGACTTGTAAGACATTCGGAGGATTGTAAGGCATTCAGAGACATGTAAGGCATTCAAAGACCTGTAGGACATTCAGAGAACTATAATACATTCCGAGACACGTGAGGCATTCGGATACCTGTTAGACATTCAAAGACATGACTTTTGTCAGACATTCAGAGAACTGTCATGCATCAGAGATATATTAGACATTCAGAGACCTGTAAGGCATTCCGAGAACTGTCAAATATTCAGAGACCTTTAAGACATTCAAAGACCTGTAAGACATTGACAGACCTGTAAGGCATTCAATTAAATGTTAAACGTTCAGAGAATTGTAAGACATTCGGAGAACTGTCAGGCATTTAGAGACCAGTAAGGCTTTCAGAGACCTGCATCTTCATATTACTATCAACAACAATCTTAAAGAGATGACTTAGGTATAGTAAAATATCAACATTTAGATGGAGACGTACTGCATGCATCATCTTACGGGATAACTATATCTTAGTTAATCAGATTCACTAGAGCTTGTAGATAAGATTTCAACGATCGAACTATTTTCATTACTAGCAAGCTTCTCAAACAGGGCTACCGCCATTATAAATTACGTTAATATTTTTACAATTATTACTTCAAAACTCAATAGCGATTAAAAAAAAACACTTCTGCGACATGGGATAAGCCAGTCTGATTTGTATGGGGATATGATTTACAAACTTTGTAAGATCTTTGGTCATTGTAATTTTTATGTTGTCTTTACTAAAACTTTTAAACATTTTATTAAAAGACGTAATGACCCTAGTATTTTAAGACATACAGCATGCTTAGTATTCAGCCCTTTTACAGTTAGACGCTACGCTTTCCTCTTTTAATTACATCTAACGGACTAGTGGGAGACTGGTTGACAGTTCTTCAAGTCCTGTAAGATTGAATTGTTTTAATGTCCTAATGTTCGTCTTCTGCCTTGCTTCGTCGGGCCTTTAAGGTGATTTTCTTGTTGCACTGTATTTCTTTAAGCATTGAGTACTTTTGTATGGTAACTGGGTTTTCTTTTGTATGATTCTACATTATCATTTCTGTGTTTGACTTATTTCACCTTTTGTTACCATAAAAATTGTTAGAATTTCACTTGGAAGGGATTCATTTTATTTACACAGTCTCGTTTATAGAAACATGGTGGGGCTAAGAGTGACGTTTGGTGCACCATTAACCGGTTTAAACTCCCTAGAAGTACTTATGCTGCTGACCGTTCCAAGGCGGTACCACTCTGTGTTCCTAAGACGTATTTCTTTGTTGTTTCATACTATTTTTGTGTCCCTTCTTGTTTTTTTTCTTGTGTAAGGTAAGTATCTTCCCTTTTGCCCCTAGTTTTATTTTTTAATTTTGCCCCTCCCCTTCCCCGTACTTCAATTCCCCTTTCCCTACGAACTTTCACTTTTTGGGCCTATTAATCAATTGTCTTTGATTTCCTTGTCGGTTACTATTGTTTTCTTTCATGTATTAGTAAAGTGATTATCCTCTCTTTCTTGTGTTCTGTCCTGTTTTTTGCAACTTCCTTGTTGATCTTGTTTGTCATATTTCATGATTTCCGTACTTACTCATCAATACAAAGTACAAGTTTTTGCCAAGTTATATAGCTTTCCAATTAATATTTCCCATTTTCCCCCCATTTTATCACTTGGAAAATAGGGCTAGAAGATGTATTTTATTTCATTTGTCTTAAGATATCTCTCATATTTGATAGCTTAAATTTTTTAATAGTCTACTATTTTTTCTAACTTTTTGTAGAGGTAAGGGGTCACTGCAGTCATTTAAAAAATAAATTCATACTTTTTGTTCACACAGTCTACAAACCTACAAACATATTATATAAAGATTATTTTACCATATACGTATCAGGAAAATCA